AAAAAGACCAGAGCTCAACAAAAAATTTGATCTTCAAGTACAGGACTCAAGAAGGACTTAAAAAGGTAAATGGGACAGAAGGATACAATATGTGTTAATAAGGGGGGGCTGTTTAAACCCCTACAAGGGAATATGAGACTTGCAACCCTTGAGAACTGTATTGTTATTACACCTTGTTAAAGGTATACATAAAGAGGGTGGATATTAGTTGACTTTGATGTAATGATAAAAAAAATCTAATCAAGTTTAAATGGATCCAAATAAGTGGATCAATCTAATCTTAGAAAAGTACTGAGAAAGGAGGAGGCAGACAAGGGTAAATTACATTACAGGAAAAGACACAAAATCCTATTACAGCAGAGGGAAAGGGGGGGAGCATTGTTTGAACCTTACTCTCATCAGATTAGGCTCAAGAAGGGCATAATATAATCAGTTAGGTATAGAAATCTAACTTGCCCTATAGGCAGTAGGAGGGAAAAGGGGAAAGAAAAGGGAGGGGGGAAAGAAGGGAGGGAAAGAAGCAGTAAGACTAAAGGGGAAGAAAAGGGAAAGGGATAATAAAAGGGGGAAGGGACTGAAGGAGGCGTGGTCAAAAGCAAAACACTAGTGAAGGGGAGAAAGGAAAAAGGAGAAAGAAAGCATAAATAGGGGGAAAAGGATGGAGAAAAAGACACAGATAGTAATCATAACTGTGAATGTGAATGGGATGAACTCTCCCATAAAACGGAAACGGATTGCAGAATGGATTAAAAATAATCCTACAATATGTTGTTTACAGGAAACACATTTGAAAAAGAGTGACACATACAGGGTAAAGGTAAAAGGCTGGAGCAGAATATATTATGTCAGCTGAAGTAAAAAAGCAGGGGTAGCAATCCTGATCTCAGACAAAGCAAAAGCAAAAATAGATCTAATCAAAAGAGATAAGGAAGGAAACTACATCCTGCTAAAAGGCACCATAGACAATGAAGTAATATCATTACTAAATATATATGCACCAAATGGTATAGCATCCAAATTCTTACAGGAGAAGTTCAGGGAGTTACAGGAAGAAATAGACAGCAAAACTATACTAGTGGGGGACCTGAACCTCCCCTCTCGGCAGTAGATAAGTCTAATCACAAAATAAACAAGAAAGAAGGTAAGAAGGTGAATAGAACATTAGAAAAGTTAGGTATGATAGACCTCTGGAGAAAACTGAATGGGGATAGAAAGGAATATACTTTTTTCTCAAGTACATGGCACATACACAAAAATTGACCATGTACTAGGGCATAAAAACCTCACAATCCAATGCAGAAAGGCAGAAATATTAAATGCATCCTTTTCAGATCATGATGCAATAAAAATTATATGTAATAAAGGGCCATGGAAAGATAGACTAAAAAAAATTGGAAACTAAATAATCTAATCCTAAAAAATGATTGGGTCAAACAACAAATCATAGAAACAATCAATAATTTCATTCAAGAGAATGACAATAATGAGACAACATACCAAAACCTATGGGATGCAGCGAAAGCAGTTCTTAGGGGAAGTTTTATATCTCTAAATGCTTACATAAATAAAATAGAAAAAGAGGAGATTAATGAATTGGGCATACAACTAAAAAAACTAGAAAAAGAACAAATTAAAAATCCTCAACTAAACACCAAATTAGAAATATTGAAAACCAAAGGAAAAATTAATAAAATTGAAATTAAGAAAACTATTGAACTAATAAATAAAACTAAGAGCTGGTTTTATGAAAAAACAATAAAATAGATAAGCCTTTGGTTAATTTAATTAAAAAAAAGAAAGAAGAAAACCAAATTACTAGTATCAAGAATGAAAAGGGAAGCTACCACCAAGGAAGAGGAAATTAAAACAATAATTAGGAATTATTTTGCCCAACTATATGCCAACAAATTTGACAATCTTAGTGAAATGGATACATATTTACAAAAATATAAATTGCCCAGATTAACCGAAGAGGAAGTAAAATACTTAAATAACCCCATCTCAGAAAAAGAAATTGAACAAGCCATTGATGAACTCCCTAGGAAAAAATCTCCAGGGCCAGATGGATTTACATGAATTCTATCAAACATTTAAAGAACAATTAATTCCAATACTATATAGACTATTTGGGAAAATAGGTGAAGAAGGAGTCTTACCAAATTCTTTTTATGATACAAATATGGTGTTGATACCTAAACCAGGAAGAGTCAAAATAGAGAAAGAAAATTATAGACCAATTTCTCTAATGAATATAGATGCAAAAATTTTAAACAAAATATAGCAAGTAGATTACAGCAACTTATCACAAGAATAATACACTATGACCAGGTAGGATTTATACCAGGAATGCAGGGTTGGTTCAATATTAGGAAAACTATCAGCATCATTGAGCATATCAACAAAAAACCAACAGAAACCACATGATCATCTCAATAGATGCAGAAAAAGCTTTTGATAAAATACAACACCCATTCCTATTAAAAACACTAGAAAGCATAGGTATAAATGGAGTCTTCCTTAAAATAATAAATAGCATATTCTAAAACCTTCAGCAAGCATTATATGTAATGGGGACAGGCTAGAAGCATTTCCAATAAGATCGGGGTGAAACAAGGATGTCCATTATCACCACTGTTATTCAATATTGTACTGGAAACCTTAGCTTTAGCAATAAGAGAAGAAAAAGAAATTGAAGGCATTAGAATAGGCAAAGAAGAAACAAAGCTATCACTCTTTGCAGATGACATGATGATATACTTAGAGAATCCTAGAGAATCAAGTAAAAAACTACTTGAAATAATAAACAACTTTAGCAAAGTTGCAGGCTATAAAATAAACCCACATAAATCATCAGCATTTCTATATATTACCAACAAAGCCCAACAGCAAGAGATAGAAAGAGAAATCCCATTTAAACTTACTGTAGACATTATAAAATATTTAGGAGTCTACCTCCCAAACAAACCCAGGAACTCTATGAACACAATTACAAAACACTTTTCACACAAATAAAATCAGATCTAAATAATTGGAAAAACATCAGTTGCTCATGGGTAGGCCGAGCTAATATAATAAAAATGACAATCCTACCTAAGCTAATTTACTTATTCAGTGCCATACCAATCAAACTACCAAAAATTATTTTATAGAGTTAGAAAAAATAATAACAAGATTCATTTGGAAAAACAAAAGGTCCAGAATATCAAAGGAACTAATGAAAAGAAATGCAGGGGAAGGTGGCCTAGCAATTCCAGATCTTAAATTGTATTATAAAGCAGCAATCATCAAAACTGCTTGGTACTGGCTAAGAAATAGGGAGGTGGATCAGTGGAATAGGTTAAATATGCAAGACACAGTAGTCAATGACTATAGTAATCTATTATTTGATAAACCCAAAGACCCCAGCTTCTGGGATAAGAACCCACTCTTTGAAAAAAACTGCTGGGAAAACTGGAAAAGAGTATGGCAGAAACTAGGCATAGACCCAAATCTCACACCATATACCAAAATAAAGTCAAAATGGGTTCATGACTTAGATATAAAGGCTGATACCATAAGTAAACTGGGAGAACAAGGAATAGTTTACCTATCAGATCTATGGAGAACAGAAGAATTCATGACCAAACAGGAGATAGAGAACATTATGAAAAGCAAAATGGATAATTTTGATTACATTAAATTGAAAAGTTTTTGCACAAACAAAGCCAATGCAACTAAGATTAGAAGGAAGGTAGAAAAATTGGGAAAGAATTTTTACAACCAGTCTCTCTGATAAAGGCCTCATTTCTAAAATATATAGAGAATTAAGACAAATTTATAAGAACACAAGCCATTCCCCAATTGATAAATGGTCAAAGGATATGAACAGGCAGTTCTCAGATGAAGAAATTAAAGCCATCTACAGTCATATGAAAAAATGCTCTAAATCACTATTGATTAGAGAAATGCAAATCAAAACAACTCTGAAGTACCACATCACACCTATCAGATTGGCCAACATGGCAAAACAGGAAAATGATAAATGTTGGAGAGGATGTGGGAAAATTGGAACACTAATACATTGTTGGTGGAGTTGTGAAATGATCCAACCATTTTGGAAAACAATTTGGAACTATGCCCAAAGGGCTACAAAAATGTGCATACCCTTTGATTCAGCAATAGCACTTCTAGGGCTATATCCCAAAGAGATCAAACAAATGGGAAAAGGACCCACATGTACAAAAATATTCATAGCAGCTCTTTTTGTGGTGGCAAAGAATTGGAAATTGAGAGGATGCCCATCAACTGGGGAATGGCTGAGCAAGTTGTGGTATATGAATGTAATGGAATACTATTGTGCTATAAGAAATGATGAACAGGCTGACTTCAGAAAAACCTGGGAAGACTTATATGGTCTGATGCTGAGTGAAGTGAGCAGAACCAAGAGGACTTTGTACACAATAACAGCCACGTTATGCATGACTAAGAATGTTAAACTGAACCCTTCTCAGCATTACGAGGATCTAAGACATCTCCAGAGGCCTTGAGATGGAAAATGCTGTCCACATCCAAAGAAAGAACTATGGAAGTCGAATCACTCTCACTTATTTTTACCTTCAGTTGAGTTTTGTTTCATCTTTCTGATGATTCCTCCTATTGGTTTTAATTTTTACTTACAACTTCACTAATGTGAAAATATGTTTAATGGGTATGTAAATGTAAAGCCTATGTCAGATTGTGCACCGTCTTGGGGGGGGGAGAAAAAGGGAGAAAAAATTTTCAACTCAAAAGCATATGGAAAAAAAAATTTTAAAAAAAAGTAAATATAAAATAAAAGGTTAGACTAAAAAAAAAAGAAATGTACTTGAGTTTGAAAATCTCTTGGCAAAGCCAGATAGACTAGCACTTCACATTTGTCATTTGGGGGTCTGTATTATTTAAACACCATTTTGATAGGTCCAGAGACTTACATTAAAGTGAACTCAATATTATAACAAGCTGTGTTTACATTAAGCTTTATATAGATTTATAAAATTTGATTTATTGCTTGATAACTTTCATTATTATCAAGAGTAGTAACACAGTATAAGTCATAATATAAAGCATGGATTTGAAACAAAACTTAAAGAACTACCAGAATTATACATTCAAATGAGTGTCATTCCACAAATAACCTTAAAATCTGTTCGATTTATCCGTCAATCCCTTTGGTTCCAATCCGGCACCTTGACTATCTTTCTTATCACCTCCCTCTCTACTGCACTGCCACCACCCTACTTTGTGAAGTCATTATCTCTCACCTGTGCAACTATTACTGTGGAACACTCTCATTACAGGTTTCCCTGTCGCTGGTCTCTCTCCTCTCTTCCAGTCTATCCTTCACAGATGCCTATGTGTGGTTAAGCAAAACAACTTCATCAGCCATCCCAAAAGGTATGTTTCCTTTGTAGTGCTCAGGTTCTGCTCCAGAAACTTTCAGTGACTACTTATTTATCAACTAGAAAGTGGAACCTCCCATACTTGGCATTTAAGGCCTTTGAATCCTTAATTTCCTTTAAGGCCAAACTCAAGAACTCCCCACAATGAACATTCCCTAATTCCCTGAGCATTCTCTCTTTATGCTTTCAATACTTTGGGGCTCCCCTTTATCTACATTTAACTCTTGGGTATATATATATGTCAGATTCACACATTCAGCACAAGGTCTTAAAATATAGTTAAGTATTTCATAGGTATTTGTATTGAGGACTACTTACATGTATTCCAGCAATAAGGCCTGTGGCTACCCTGCCTGTATCATCGTCATTTAACCGCCAGAGTCTTTGATTTGTCCATGTGTAACTTCACACCTCTGCCTACCAGTGACATACTGTAACAAATGATCTCTAGGTCCCCTTCCAAATCCTATGATCCAATTCATTCCTCAGACTATTGTGATACAGTAGAAAAAGCCACTAGCTATAAAGTTACACAATCTGGGTCCAGATCTCACCTGTCATCTCGACCCTGTTAAAGTTATTGGGCTTCAATTTCCTTATAGGTAAAATGAGGTGTTTGGGTTACCTGACCCCTTAAGGGCTACTAGCTCTTGAGCTTTATTATTAACCTGATATGGAATTTTGAAGTATGAATACCAGAGGGCAGTTAATAAAGTGCCAAAATAACACCTTTTTTTTGCCTGTCATATGAATTGAATTTTTCATTTCATAAAAAATACTATTCAAAAAGACAAGCATAAGCACAAATATCACACTAATAAATTAGCAAAAATGATCCAATCTGGTATCTTTCTCATTAAAACTTCCCAGCCTTTTATTTTATTTCTTTATGGCTTCAAAGAAAAACTTTTAGTCCTTTTACCTTCTTGCTTTTGAAAGCATGGAGAACACCCTTGTGTCCTCTATTTCACTCTGTTGTCCTTCCATAGAATAGGTGCAGGAGAAAGCAAGTCTGCATGTCACGTTTTCCTTCTATTATCATCATTATCACATCCAACTTATCCTTCATTTTACATACATTAGTATTTTGCTTAGCAAAGCCCAAGTAACTTAAGCTCACTAACTGCTTTTCAGTGTGTAATTATTTTCTAAAAGAATCTGGATTTTTTATCAGGATAGAATGTTTTAAACCAGAATTTTGAACAGCTTAAAGACTGGTTTATTGACAGCCTCTTATGCTTTTCCTTCAGTTTGTTTTACCTGTGTTCCAAGTAGAATTTTGTCTTATTGCAAAGCTGCAAGTGTACACTTACTAATTTCATCCAGGAGTCATTCATTTTAATTTTTTTGTCACATAATAAAGCACTTATATCAATATTCACCTTTAATACTAATAATTTTAAACAAACTACAAAACAAACCAATACATTTCTACATAGTTGTGAGCTGTTATTCAACTGGCTAAGCCATGAAGGAAACATATAGTAATAACTAATTTTCCATGACAATAATCTTAAATACATCCTAGCCAACCTACACTTAAATTAAGACCAAGTGAATATCTGTGGCCAGGATTTTAAGTTGTTCTGGTAGCACATTCCTATTTCTTAAAACTCAACTACTGAGTTAAAAAACAAAAATTGAAAGATATAGAAATGGCTTCCAATTGATTACTGATAAAAAACAGCTCAATGCATTGTAGTATCAGCCACACTTTACAAATTCTAAGGCTGAGCATCAGTTCTGTTAAGTTCTTATGTGTAAATAGAATTTGGGCTGAATTTCAATTTCTATATTATGATAACCCTGTTTTACACTGCTGTTATCTGTAATGTAATGTTTATTATTAGTTTTAGAATAAATTCCAATAAAAAAGAAAACATTACCTATGTACCTTAGGATTGGAGCTCTAGAAGTAACTGGAAGGGACTTTAGGGACTGTCTAGTCCAACCCCTTCATGTTAGAGGTGAAAAAACAGGCCTCAAGAGATTAAATGACTTGCCAGTGGTTGCCAGGTATGAATTGACAAGAGCACGAATTTGAACAAAGGTCCTCCAACTCTAAATCTAGGGCTTTTCCATTGGACCACATGTGTACTAGTCACTAATAAAGTAAAATACACACACAGACAAGTATTAGTAAGGATGACTTCAAATATGGTTATAATCAAATATATTAAAAAGTTAATGTGTAATATTGTTTTTAATTACAGCATTAAAAACAAAGTCCATTTTTTTTGTATCTTATTATGCTTCATATAAAGACACTGAAGTCTACCGCAGATGTGTATTTGTACACATTTATAACTTAGCTTGTTGTTATTAAAAGTACATAGAACTACCCTGTATTCAAATTTGTCTTTTAGAGCAGAGGTGGCAAATGCCCTGTAAATACTCCCAAGTATGGCCTGAACCAAATGAAAGTAATTGGGAAATGTTTAACAGTAAATAAAAATACAATACAACATAATGTTACTTCGTGGTTGTCTAAGTCAATATGTGGCCAGCAGTTTGACACCACTGTTTTTGAGGAACAAAAGTCCTTAAACTTGTAAAAACCTATATTGTTGAATATACGTGTGATGTTTTAGGGGACAGAGGGTGAGGTTGGCCCTGTGATTTCATCTATGTGGGGGGGAGCCTAGGAAGATCAGTGACTTACCTGTAACCTGTGTTACCCTCTTAGTGCCCCAAGTCCCTACTCACAAAATGACCAGGGCATGGTAACACAGCTCATTATATTTCACAGGTAAGCCCTGAACCCAGATCTTCTGCACCTCTGGACTACCCCTATTATCTACTGTGCCTTTCACAATGAAGATTTCAAATATAATTAATTTTCCCACTATGATAAATTTGGAAGAAAAGGTCTCTTCACTCCTAGTCCACTTGACAGCAATGCTTCATATATAAGAAAAATTGTAACATATACAAAGATTATATATGTATATTTATATACTAATCATATAAAAGAGCATAAGATCACTTAGAATCATAGACTGTCAGAGCTGTAAGGCAACACAGAACTCCTCTAGTGAAACCTCGTATTTTATGTATGAGGGGTCCCGAGGCCCAGAGAGGTCACATGCTTTGCTTAAACATACATAGCTAATTATTGGCAAGCCCAGGACTAAAACCCAAGTCTCCTGACTCTAGGCTTGTATATGCAGATCAGCAACTCACCTGTAGCCTACTATTTTTTCCAATGGTCTTTTTTTTTCTTCAATAAACAATTACATTAAATTGACTTGAAAATTGCAAAGTACCATGTCCTTGCACTAAAATGTTTTATTGTAAGAAAACTCAGTGGGAAATGTGTAAAATAATAGCCACAGTAGAAGAAAATCAATCATATTCAAGGCTTTCTTATGCGTGGTGAAGTATCATTTTCCACCACACCACAATATCAAATGTTGGTAACTGCCTACTTTTGAAAAAATTTCACAGGACACAACTATTCAATGATGTTGTTTCAGGAAATAAGTGGGAATTAATTGCTTTCAAATTAAATAGACATTAAAAAGTTTAACTGTATTGCTGAAAGGCAGTATTGTCTTGTAAAGAGTATTGTGCTTGGGTTCAGAGGACTGGTTTCAGAGTCCCAGCTCTGCAAATTATTGCCTGGGTGATCTGAGGCAAGTCACTCAGCCCCTCTGGATTTAAATTTACTCATCTGGAAAACAATGGGATTGGATGAGATATTATCTGCACATCCTTCCAGCTATGACACTATGATAAAATAGAAAGAAAGGAAAGGGGAGGGTTGGGAAGGGTTGGTGTGGCTACAAGTGTGGAGATCTGGGTCTTACAGCTCTACAGACATAATATTCAGCAAGTAATGTAACTTCCCTGGGTTTTAGTTTCATCTGTAAAATATGAGACCTGGAGTAAATGAGTTTTAGACATGGGAATTTTCTGAATCTATGATCTCAATCTCTAACCAATACTAAACACAAAATTTCAACTTTTCTGTCTGATACTTAAACTTACCTGGCTTTTCAAACGACAACAGTTTACCTCATAACTGACAACATAGGGGTGATATTTTAAAAACCAAAATATTTAGTAGAGCAATTTTTTTAGGCAATGAAAAATAACTAGACTATATTTGCCAAAAGATTACCAGTAATTATGATAAAATGAAGTTTAAAATATATCTTTAAAATACAAACCCCCAAACTCCAACACTCCCAAAATATAGATTGGATTCTATTTTAAGCAAAAGGAACCACATTCCATACCAAAGACTATAGTCAGTAAGATGCTAGGACTGTGAATTACTAAGTTAAAATTAGTCAAACAAATATAATACACAAGTAAAGCAGTTCATAGAGAATAATAACTTATACAAAGAAAGTGAACAGAGTCATAAAGAAAACAGTTTAAAAGCTCACAGGCAAATGCAGTATTTTCACAGTTATTGGAATCAGTCAAATATTAAATAATTTACATGTTGTAATAATACTTTTATGCACACACACTACACTTATAGCAGAGCATTTACTTTAGGCTGACAAAGTAAAAGATGAAATACGGTTAAATATTATTTACATATTTCCAAAAGCTCTTAAAAACCTTTTTCTGAATGTTTTGTTTCTTTAAATAATAAAAACTTTCTTTTTTTTTGCAAATAAAAATATATTTTACATCAACGAAGGAAAAAAAATTGCTACTTAAAGGTCACCACTCTGTCCTTAAGTCATTCACTTGCAATTCCTATTCATGGGAATTGCACTTAACACATTAGATGGAATAAAAATAAAACTTAATCCTAAAAAAAAAAACAGGCAGGGCTATGAATATGCAAAATAACTGATGAAATGACATTATCGATCCACATATATCTTTTACATAACGAATCATGCTTACATAAGATAACCTTAAAATATGAAAAACTGGAGGCAAAAAAAAGTCCACAAATTTTTTAACCTTTTACTCAAAACAATGCATGATCAAATTAGATGTAAACATTTTAACTTTGTATTTTTTTCTTTGCATTTTCCACATGCTACATCCCCCACACGTTAAATTTTCCAGGCCTTTATTGTTAAATAAACAAGGGAGTTGACCTTATTATACAATGCTGAGAAATGTACTCATACTGAGAAAATATTTGCTTAAACATACATGTTTTGTGATTTGAATAATTTCCCATGCTGTAAAAGGCTTTTTCCTAATTGAATTCCTAAATATCTTTTCACCAAAGCCTACTCTGGTTCCATCTTTAGTTTCAGTAAGTTTGCTACGTTATAGTCATGACAAAAAGCAGCTTACACTGACGGGTGCTACATCAAAGATGCAAGTTAGCTTTTCATGAAACTACTAATGGCTTAAGGGATATTGAAAACAGAAAGGACCACCAACATGGGGCTCTGTCCTAGGTAAGCAAACAGCTTACCTAGGTTCAGGCCTGACAATGGATCTTTCATAATCACAGATGAACTGAAAATCATCTGACCTTCACAGCTTATTATACATACATATTATAACCGAAACAAGTGCTCATTTTGTCTGTACAATAAAACCAGTCCTGGTCTACAGACTATGAAGATAAAGTTTTATTAAGTCTCACTGTATTATAATATAAAGTATTATACTTTAGCTTAGGTGTTTAATAAAGAAATAAGTATAAAACATTTTTATAATTTTAGAGTTTAATTTTTAGCGTTAAAGGTTTTTTGTTTCACTGAACATAAAAAAGTCAGGATGAAGAGTCTTATTTTGGTGGAAGGTGCTGTTTGCTTTTGGTCTCATTAAGTCACTCCTCTTTTCAGGAGTAAGACAGTATGAAAATTAAATGAAAAGGCAATTTTAGAGGAACAGCTGTACTTTCCTAATTGCATGACTAATGTTCAATGTAAAAAGAGGACAGTAATCCAATGTGTAATTTAGCCTTCCTCCTTTTTGTTCCAACATACTAACAGTGAATGCACTGAAAACTCAAATTCACCTAAAAAGATGTGAATTCAAGGTACCCTTATAACCAACTCAATCTACTAGGGAAAACATTTTACTTTACTCTCAAGAGTATAAAAAGGAACTGAATTCCCAGTGGAAGATACAAACATTTTGTTCTGTAAACACAATCCTAGATTAACTGCCATCTTCGAGATGCAGAACTTCTTACAATCTGTCATGTGCAAATAACAGTTAACCACAAACTTTAAACAATGGCTGTGTATGAATTTAAGCCACATCCAGTACACCCGCAGCCACAAGTTGCCTTGAAAGCCAATCCAGTCCTTCATAGAGCCCCATCCCGCTCCGTGCATCACAGCCCTGAATATACCAGCTTCGACCACAGCAGAGTTTATGCAGACTAAGAAGTTCTGTTATTTCTTCTACTGAAAGGGCTCCTGCAACATCCTGTAGGAGATTTATAAATGTTCTGATGTTAAATACATTCACCCAAATAATATTTTCTAATTATTTTTGTTTTGGTCAAAGCTTAGTCCAAATTCTAAATCCAGATTTCATGAAAATTAAAACTACAAACAGATTCACCATGGCCAGGATTTGTTACAATCAACTGCATTACAAAGCAGGAGAAATTAGGTTTTTTGCCAAAAGTAAGCCAAAAAATATTTAAATGAACTTGTTGAAATATCACAAGGCAGTTAAGATTTGAGTTCTTTAAGTCTTATATACCAAGAAATTAGTTGATATAATTGTGATTTACAAAACTGTGAAGAAAATTTAACTAATAGATTTTAAAATAATTCAACTTGTAATGGAAATCAACAATAGCATTAAACTTCAAAATAAGAAGTTGCTGTATTATTAAATGTTTTGTCTCTCTGAGTTCCAATTTTAATAATTTAAGGACACACAGTTTCATAGCGCATAGGAGCCCTTCCAATGCTGTAGCATACATGATTTTCATGCATTGCTATGGATGAAAAACATTTATTCTATATTAACCAACCTGCTCACTGGTAAGCTAATCTGCTTCCTGAGGATGACAAGACAAAGTTTTCTTTCTCAAAGCCCTCTGAATATCTGGCAGAGCCTATCCTATCAGAGTTTGCAGTATGGTGACCAGGTCTTTGAAAGTCCAGAGTTACGTGAAAGCCACCATGAACACTAGAGAAGGATTTTAGTGGAGGAAGCAGTTCTTAATTTTGTCCATTGAAAAAAATTCTTTTTAACTCTTCCCAACTACATTAAAGGCACTGAATTCCTAAAGTCAAAGGAAAATGTTAAAAGACAGAAAGAAAAAAATTTCCGCAGCTGGCCATCTCCATACCTGTTTATTTGCAAATATCAGCAGCAAAGCATCTCTCAGTTCTTTTTCTGTTAACAACTTTGCGAGTTCACTATGTGCTTCACTTATTCTGTCTCTGTGACTACTATCAATGACAAATACGACAGCTAACAAAAGAAAAACAAGAACATTCACTTAAATAAATGTAAAATATTATTGTCAAAAAGTAACTGTAACTAAATGAGCCAAGTACTTTTAACAATACATACCACTTTCTGCCTGGGATCTGAATACCACCTCCATTTGCCAGATAAAATATATTTCAGAACTTAGTAAAGCTAAAGTTATTGCAGTCAATAAAACTTTGTGAAATATCACACGAGAAATATTTTCTACAATATTCAATTCAAAAACACTTCAAAGCACTTTAAAAATATCAAAAACACAGCCCCAGGAGTGAGTCATATAACCTAAGTCTTGGTTCTTGCACTAATTAACCATTATGACCTTCAGCAAATCACTTATTCTTACTTCCTCACACCTATAAAAATAAAGATGTAATAGATCAACTCTTTGCCTTTTGAAAACTAAAATTCTATTCTTCTATTTTTGAAAATTAATGGTATCTAATGTAATAACAGAGAACAAAATTCAATTTCTGGTATTCTCTAAAATGGATAGGGTGCCAGCTTCAAAGCCAAGAAAAACTGGGTTCAAGAACTACTTCCGACACACACTGGTTGTGTGACCCTGGGCAAGTCATTTTAACCTCTCTAGGAAACTCACCAAGACTCTAAGTTGCAGACAAGGTGCCAACTTGAATTGGTGGAAGAAGTTAACTCACCAAGGAGCTTCAGATCAATGAAATCACAAGACCAGTCCCTATTCCTGAGATGAAGATCAGTATGAAAAAGTTCTTTTTTTATGGTACATCCTCTCTCCATTATATATACTTGTATAGGTTAGTTTGTTAACACTCAGATAAGGAAAGCAGTAAATAACAGCAACAGGCATAGGTTTTCTAAGAACAAGTCATATTAAATTAGCCTCCCTTCCCTTTATCATAAAGTTCCTAGTGGTTCTCAGAAAATCATAAAAGTGAAAAGGACCCTGAAGTCCGTTCAGAAAAACCTTAACAAGAATCCCCTCTGGATACAACATAACCAATAAGGGGTTAGTCATCAAGCCCTTGACTGGGTACCTCCAAGGAGAGGGAACCCACCACCTCCTGAGTTAGCCCCTTCCACTTTGGGATCAGCTATACTTTTTTTGTAAACAGTTTTTCCTTGTATCACACTTCAATCATTTGTCTCTGCATTTAATAACCACTGCTCACTCTTGATTCTTCTCAGGGTTCAAATAAAACAAGTCATACCCCTTCTCCACATGACAGTTCTTCAAATATTTGAATACAGCTATTGAGAACCTCTAAAACCTCTCTTCTCTAGGAAAAAGATTCTGAGATCTTTCTGTCAATCATTCTGTCATCTGTCAATGACACGAACTCAAAGGAATTCAATATCCTTGCTGCCCTCTTCTGGACGTTCTAAATCTTATCAATGTTATTCCTAAAATGTGGTGAACACGACTTACATCACAATAGTCCAGATGAGACTGGAACAAAGCAGAACACAGCAGTGCTAGAGGGTGTCCTAGTTTTAGAAGCTTGAGCTCTTAATTTAGTCGAAGATCACTTCAGCATTTTTTTAGCTGCCGTATCAAGCTTTTAATCCACTAAAACCCCCGAGATCTTTTCTTGGACAAACTGCTATCTAGCCGTATCTCCCCCCCTCATCTTCTACTCATGAAATTTACTGTTTTGAATCCAACAACGACAGACTTTACACTTATTCTTATTACGTCAGCTTATTAGTGTAACCCAGTAATCCATGATATTCTTTTTGGATCCTGACTACCATCTGGTATGTCAGCTGTTGCTCACAGTTTTGTCTCATCTGCACATCTGAAAAGCATATATTTACATTTTTATCCAAATCAATGACAAAAATGGTAAAAAGAACAGGGCCAAGCACAGATTCTTGGGGCACTCGACTGGAAAACTCTTTCGACTGTTAAACAACTATTCTTTGGGTGCAGACATTCAATCTGATCTGTTGCAGGAGGGAGACATCATCAAGATTACTTTGGTAGTAATGGAAACAATGAAAGGAGAGAAAGGACTGAGACACCAGTTAGGAAGCTATTACAGTAGTTCAAAAGAGGAGAAGCAAAGGCTTCAACTAGGATAGTAGCAACAGAAGTATAAATAAAAGATAAATGATCCTAGATCTAGGTAACAAATAATTAATCATCCTCGTCCTCTCTCAGCAGAAATACTGGAGTACATGGGAGCAGAACCATGTCAGACAACAGAATCATAGATTTAGAACTGGAAGGGACCTTTGAGGCCATTAAAATCAACTCCACTCATGAATATGAGGAAAATGAGGCTCAGAAATATTAAGTGACTTGCCCACCAAGAATCACACAGCTTGTCAAGGGTCTGGCTGCTGTGGTTTAACTATTTTTCTTTATTATACCAGGGAGTTCAATTCTGAATGGAGGAGATGAGAACACAGAAGGGCATACCTGAAACTGTTTAGAATATAAAAAAAAATCATCAATAAATTTTAGTGTTAAAAAAAAAAGACAAAGGGTAGACGTAGAATCCATAGCAAATAGCAACCAAATGCATATGAAGGGTGAAGGCAATGGAAAACTCAAGTGTGACTGAGAAACAAATATTAGCACACAGAAAGTCTTAGATGGAAGATCAATTTGGCTTTGGACACGTAGGATTTTACCTGTAGCACAAAGTCCAGGTCAAGAGATGTTGCAGATAAAGAATAGCTGGTTAAGAAGATGCTAGCTGATTATAACCACAAATAGTCTTTTGGTTTTACTTAAATTATTTCCTGGGAATACTGGAGGTGTGGGGGTGGGGGTAGTTTTGTTCAGTGGATTTTCATAAGCTACATGTCAAAACAAAAAAGTATCAAAATTGAGGGGAGAAAAAGCTAGTGTTGGTACATAACTACTAAAATGAAATTCAATAGAGATAAATGTAAAGTCTTTACACTTGTATCAAAAAAATTAGCTTCACATGTGGCCAGATAGCAGTCTATCTAAAAAAGATTTGGATGGATGTTTTAGTAGACTGAAAGCTCAATGGGAAATCAAAAGTGTGAAATGACTGCTAAGAATGCTAATGTGATCTTATGATGTATTAAGAGAGAAAGTGTATCCAGAAAAAGAGTTTTTTATACTTCCACTAAACTCTGCCCAAGTTGAGCCATCCTGGAATATTTTGTTCAGGTCTAGACATGACATTTTAGGAAAAATAAGTTGGAAAGTGTTCAAAGAAAGGCAACCAGAATAGTAAAGAGTTCTAAGATCAAGGCTCATGAAGGAATTATAGATGTTTGGCCTCAGGAATAGAAAATTTGAAAAGACTATAATGATAGCTGCTTTCAAATATCTGAAGAGTTATAAAACAGAAAATGGATTAAAACTTGTTCTGTTTGGTCCCAAAAGGCAGAATTAGGAGTAAGGGCGGCAGGCTGATGCAAGGAGGCCAACTTGGGCTTGATATGAGTAAATATTTCCTAACATTTAAACATATCCCAAAGTAGAATAGGCCATCTTGGGAGAGGTCTTCAAGCAAAGCTTTAATTGACCATTACAAGGCATAGGGTATAGAAGGGACCCTTGCGAAACAAAGTTTGGACTAGGTACTTGAGTGCCTTTTCAACGTTAAAGGTATCATGATTTGGAATGAATGGACCTATGTTTGAATCTTAGCACCGCTAAATATTATTTATATGAGAGGTCCTTAAATTTTTTTTGAGTCGTGGACCCCAGTCTAGTTCACAGACCACAGGTTAATCTGCATGAACTTGAACAAGTCTTTCAATCTTTATCAGCTTCTAGAACTAGATGATTTTTAAGGGCCTATCTAGTTAAAAATCCTGATTTTATTATCTTATATACAATAGCTTATCCTCTCAATTGAATAGGAAGTGAGGTTATCTTCTGAGAAAGAATGTTAGTAATAAAAGGTAAGGTCTTAAAGGAAAGAGTCACTTTAGAGATTGTGACAAAAAAACTAAAAGATAAATAAAAATCTGGTCAGCAACAATGAGAACCTAGATATGATCAGGTAACATGAAGCTGTAGTGGACCAACTCAGCCTAGTGTCATGACTTTCTCCAGGAGATTTTTTATTACTCAGGAAAGGAAACAGAGAAAGCAGATAACAGAAGTCTTTCAAGGTTAAAAATTAGCAAGTTAAGAGCACATCAATCGTGGGGGATTCAATTATGGAGGAGTGTATCACTGAAATGGATGATGACTGTGAAGGGAAGGGAGTGAAGACAGAGTAAGTGATGGATAAGGAAAAATTTAAGGACCAGAGATTATGACAGGAGCACAGAATAACTTCACAAGGAATAAGGGTGTAGGAAAGGTTGAAGGCAGGAAACTGTGGCCACAGAGAGGAACTGCAGAGCAACATCTTGAAAATGGAAGTTTTATGTAATAACTATCGTCCACCTTTGTGAGTGATAGGAGTACAGCAGAATCTTGAGTTATAAGTCTGAGTAAGCTAAGGAGGTATGGGAACTGGGTATTAAAGAAGACAGCAACATGAATATTAAAGTTGTCAAAGACAAAGGGCAAAAAAGAGCCAAGTACTAAAGATGCTAATGAAAGTGAAAGAGTATACTACAGAGGCTGACAGATAACAGCAAGAAAGGATGTTATAACACCAAGTTAAGAATTCCAAATGGGAAATGTAAATAGAACACTAATTAGAAAGTCATTAAATTTATTTAGAGTCCTATTTACATTTAGCTATAATAATATGTGCCAGGAACAGGCTATGTAAAGACAAAAACAAGACAGTTCCTATGAATGAATAAAACATTTATTAAGCACTTAGTATGTGTCTAAGTACTGTGTTAAAGTTCTGGGAATAAAAACAGAAAAAATTTAAAAGTCCCTGCTCTCAAGAAGCTTATACTTTAATTAGGGGAAAGAATATATAAATGTAAGTTCAGCAATAAGACAGATGGAAAAACCCAGAAGTCCTAAGGGAGGAGTTGTTCGGTAGATGGCAAAGCCCAGAGATCCTCAGGTTGTATCAATTGGCTAGATAATTGTACAGTCATGAGGAGATAAGGCAGGGCAGATGGTAAAGCCCGGAAGACCTTAGGATGCACTGGCAAGGCAAATAGTATTCCAGTGGTCCCAGTTAAAGGATCCCAGTTGGTGACTCCCATCTTTCTGAAATGATATGACAGTCAAGCAGCCTGGATATTTTAAGTTTCAAGCCATGGGAGGCAAGCAAAGGGAGAGGGAGCCAAGGTGGCTGTTTTCCTGCTGCCTGAATGGCCCAAATGGATACTGGGTAAAAAGAAAGGGTAATATAGGGGAAAGAATCTCCTGGTGAAAATCAGCCTGCCCAGACCAGACCTGGGCAGCTCAAGTCTTGGGGTAGGGGAGAAGACTGACAAAAAGAAGGAACTAGGGGAATACAAGTATATGAAGCACAGTTCCTGATTCCTCCAGTCGCTAGCTGTGCACTCCTCTCACTCCACTGAAATGACTTAGTATTTACTTGGAATACAATTTGTATAGAAAATAAATACAAAGTAATTTCAGATGGGGGTGGGGTAGAATGATGAGATTAAGAACTAGAGGAATCAAAAGAGGCCTTTTGTAGGAGGTGGCACTTGAGCTAATTAATACTTGAAGGAATCTAGGGATTCCAAAAGGCAAAGATGAGAGAAAAAAAGGGAATTCTAGGTACGGGGAACAATTTATGCAAAGGCTTGAAAAAAGCAGAGCATCGTGCTTGAGGAAAATAAAGATGGATAGTTTGGCTGGAAGGTAGGGCACAGGGAGTAATGTAGAATCAGCCTTGAAAAATAGGCTGGAGTCACAATGTGAAGGGTTTTAAATACTCAGCAGAATGGCTCGTGTGTGATGCTAGAGGCAACTGAGGAAAGTTTCTGCAACGGGGGGGGGGGGGGGGACTGATATGGTCAGATCTGTGTTTTAGAAGCATCAACTTAACAACTGTGTGGTGAGTAGCCTGTAGAAGGAAGGAGATGGGTACAGGAAAATGAACTGGGTTATTTCAAGAGTCTAGGGGAGAGGGAGGCAACTAGGTCCTAAACTAGGATGGTCGTGCTATGAATAGAAAGAAAAGGATGGATGCAAGACAGAATGGACAAGACTTGGTGACTGTTGAGTGGTGTGAAGAATGACTGCAAATTTGGTTGACTAGTAGGGGCAGCTAGGTGGCGCAGTGGATAGAGCACTGGCCCTGAAGTCAGGAGGACCTGAGTTCAAATCCGGCCTCAGACAAAACACCTGACATTTACTAGCTGTGTGACCCTGGGCAAGTCACTTAACCCCAATTGCCTTAAAAAAAAAATTCGGTTGACTGGGAAGAATGATGGCGTCCTAGAAGCAGAGAAATTAAATCATGATTTTTGTTTTGGACATACTAAGTTTGAGATGCTTATATAAGAACCTAAGAGATGGCTGCAGATACAACGAGAGAGATGAGGGCTTCAATACAAAGAATATCTGCAGACAAAATAATGGTAATAATAACAAAGACAACAATAATAGCCAGCATTTATATAATGGTTTAAGGTTTGTGAAGTGACTTACGTGTTATCTCATTTGATTCTCACACAACTACCATGATTATATTATTATTATTTCCATTTTTTAGAAGAGTAAACTGAGGCACACAGTGGGGTTAACTGACTTGCCCAGGATCACACAGCTAAGTCAGTGTCTAAGGGAAGATTCAAACACAGGTCTTCCAAATTCCAAGTTCATGGCTCCACCTACTGCACTACCTAGCTCCCTTGATGATAAAGATAACAAACTCACAGGAGCTGATTATATCACCTAGATGGGCTGTGGAGAGACAAGAAAGAAGACCCAAGGAAGAGTGGGCAGGACAGAGATGGTGATCTCAAAAAGGAGACTGAAGGTCTCAGTCAGACAGAGAGGAGGTGAGGCACCATCATCATTTCTATTTGTCTGAATTACCTCTTCATTGATGTTTTTAATTGATAAAATTCTTGTACTTCAAAAGTATGTTTCAAATTCATTCTTGCAACTTACATCAGCATCCAGTGGAAAGATTATTGGATTAGGAAGCAAGAGGCAGAAGTACTAGTACCATCAACCAGCCACATGATAAGGTTCATATGACTTCACTATAGACGGGAATGTTTTGTCATCTATAAAAAGACGAGACTGGACCTGATCATCTGGTCTAGCTCAGGGATTCTATGATTCACCCAATATATTTATAAAGGAAATCTAAATGTGTGGCAGAAGGTCTTCCTTAAGTTTACAAATATTTTTATCCACATGTAAATGGAGAATCTTGACTCAGAGCTTAAAAAGGGAAGGAACAAATAAAATTAATATTCACTGTATTTTAAAAATTAGTTAAAAAATACACGAACCAATCTTAGGTAACACTGTATTCAAATACCTAATCATGAATAAAATAAATCACTATTTCATACAAATCAAATTAATGATTACTTCACACAATGGAAGTGTTGTATAAAGCATTTTGTGAATTCACTATTTTTTCATTTAAGTTTTAAGAGTATTTTTAAACTTTACTTCACAAACTCCTTATATTTTTTCTGTCATTATGATAATTTTATATAGCAATTTGAACATAAACTGGAGCATTTTCAAAAAGAACTAATTTCTGCATATGATCAACTAATGGAAATCTCAAAATATAAGTAAAATAAAAAAGATTGTGGTTATTCCTACCTACCTTGTGTATTGAGGTAATAATGCTTCCATAATGGTCTTAATTTGTGTTTACCTCCTACATCCCAAATAGTAAATTTTAGGTTCTTATATTCTACAGTTTCCACATTAAAACCTGTTGAAAGAAAAACTTTTATTTGTATGCAGCCCTCATACACCTTTGCTAGTGAACAAAGAAAAAAACCACAAGCAACATAACACAGGCAGGATTCACTTCCCCTAAAAAATTGCATTCCCTATGGAGGCAAGAGCTGCTATCATTGGATATAAACTGGAATAGCACACATTCCCTCCCTGCCAATCCCTATTCTGAAAACCATCATTTCTACAACCTCACTCTTTCCCAACGTCTGTCACCAGATCCCTGTCCCCTCTCCTTCTCCATCAGCCATCACATCCAAGGTTCTCAAGGATGGAATCTCAAAGACAAGAAAACCCCTACTCCAACCAATATGGGAAATTTGGATGAGTGTGCTTTTACTCTTCCTTCTGCAGAAGGTAAGATGCCCTTGTACATAGTTGTTACTTGCAATGTCCTTGGCCAACAAAATAATATTAAGCCTATGAAGTCAGGTTCTAGAGTACTAATATTCCAACTACTTTAGGATTTTGTGTGTCCTGGCCTAGAAACCTTATTAACAATATTTCTATGAGAAAATGTATTCCAAATGTGAAACAATCCACTTAAACACATTGTTTCGCACATAAGCAATTCCTTTTGTAGATCTGTCTGTGAAATGGCTACTGGATTAGAAATTACTCATACTTACCAATTGTTGGAATGGGCTGCATGAACTCATCTTGTTTTAACTTAAATAAAATAGTAGTTTTTCCAGCACCATCTAATCCTAGAGTGACAACCCGAATCTCCATTTTAGGTCCAATGTGGACTCTATTGTCCTACAATTTAAGAAAAATAAAATTTTATGTATTTTTGAAACAAAGGCATTTAACTAATATTTATATTAATCCTTGTATTTATAAGGAACTTAAGCACTGTAAGTATAGGAATCTATTCAATAATTTGAACATTACTATTCACATCACTCATAAGGTAATAATACAAAGGACTAAATGACAGCTTAAAACGGCAACTCTAAAATTCTATGGCCTTATATATTACTTGCATTTCATTTTTATCTCAAAATTTTAATGTAACTCACTTTAAAAAAGAGATTGGTCAAGAGCCAAGTGAAATATATATTAAAGCATGGACTCCTAAACTTGTCTACAAAACTTTGCTCTTTTAATTTTCCATATTATTTGAAAAAAGCAAACCTGCAGTTAAACAGTAAAATTTATTAGAAACAATTTAGAGTATCAAATGATCATTTATGTTTTCTCTTACAAAGAATAGCACAGGTTTTAAAGGAAAGGAGAAAATGCAAAATGACTCAAATAATGTTACATTTAAACTCCAAATTTCTAAAAACTAAAATTTTAGTGAGATACATACATAAGAATAAAAACCAGTGAATGACTAGAACATTCTATTTTACATGCTAAGTTTCACTTTTTTACTCTATTTACAGTGAAAAATACTGGTGAAATGGTCTTGGCTTTGCAGTTTTCATGCATTTAACATAACAGAATCGCAGACATAACAACTGGCTGGGAGTCAGGAGGACTTAAGAGTACTTTAAAAACCTTGAAAAATTAATACTCAAGACATTTTAAAGAGGAGATGCCAAATTATTACAAAGCTCAGAAAGTATTTTTATGCAAAACGTACCATCAAGAAGACATAGGATATCAAAAATTACTTGTCATTTCACCTAAAAAAATCTATATGTACACTTAAAGATGAAGAAAATAAGACAGGGTGGAGCCAAGATGATGTAGTAAAAGCAGTGACTTGCTTGATATCTCCCCCAAACCTCTGTAAAAAATGGCTCTAGGGGCAGCTAGGTGGCACAGTGCATACAGCACCAGCCCTGAAGCCAGGAGGACCTGAATTCAAATCTGGCCTCAGAACAAACACTTGACACTTACTAGCTGTGCAACCATGGGCAAGTCACTTAACCCCAAATGCCTAAAAAAAAAAATGGCTCTAAACAAATTCTAAAGCAGCAGAACCCACAAAAAGACAGAGTGAAACAAATTTCCAGCCCAAGACAACCTAGATGGTTGATCAGAAACTTATATTGCACCGGGTGGGGAGGGGAACGCAGTTTGGCGTGGGCGTGTAGGCAAAACAGGCCTCAGTGAACCTGGAGCAGCCCTTAGAGGACTGAATCACAGACAGCTGTGGTGGTTTCCAGACTTCTCAACCCACAAACACCAAAGACAACTTAGAAGGTCAATAGGAAATATCTGTGACTGTGGTGACAGAGAAGTTTGTCCCAGCCCCAGTCCCCAAGTGCGGCGGCTGCTTCCAGAGGTTCTGGCCCACAGACTGAGGGGGAATCAAGTGGCTGATCAGAGGGAGGATTGCAGGGATCTCTTTGCTGGTGCTGAGGCAGGATTCTCTTGCTTTGTCCTGCTTGGATCTGGGCCACAGTTCTGGGTGACGGTCCTGGGGTGAGGAGGAGTGCTGGCATGGTGGAGCTTGTAGGGTGGTAAAGAGGAAATCCTCCTCACAGTTCCAAGGCAGAAAAGAGTGCCTGTGGTCACTTACAGACCAGAGCACAGGCCAGGAAAGGAGTAAACACCTCACCCTTGATCATACCACCTTGGAAGAACTAAAAATTTACAGGTCCCTAGAACTACCTCTGAAAAGAGCTGCACAAAACCCCCAAAGCTTGGGACAGTACATTCTCCACACTGGAAACAGACCCCCTACCTTAACAAAGAGTTTGTAACTCAAGTAATTGTCTGGGATCATGAGCAAGCAGTGCAAAAAGAGTCAGACCCTAGAATCTTACTCTGGTGACAAAGAAGATCAAAATATACAACCAGAAGAAGACAACAAAGTCAAAGCTCCTACATCCAAAGCTTCCAAGAAAAATATGAATTGTTCCCAGGCCATGGAAGAGCTCAAAAAGGATTTTGAGAAGCAAGTAAGAGAAGTAGAAGAAAAACTGGGAAGAAAAATGAGAGTGATGCAAGAAAATCATGAAAAACAAGCCAACAGCTTGCTACCAAAGACCCCCCCCCACAAAAAAAAAGACTGAGGAAAATAACATCTTAAAAGCAGCCTAACTCAAATAGCAAAAGAGGTCCAAAAAGCCAGTGAGGACAAGAATGCCTTAAAAAGCAAAAATGGCCAAATGGGAAAGGAAGTCCAAACGCTCACTGAAGAAAATACTTCCTTAAAAATTAGAATGGAGCAATTGGAAGCTAGTGACTTTTTGAGAAATCAAGACACTGTAAAACAAATCCAAAAGAATGAAAAAATAAAAACAATGTGAAATATCTCATTGGAAAAACAACTGACCTGGAGAACAGATCCAAGAGAGATAATTTAAAAATTACTGGACTATCTGAAAGCCATGATCAAAAAAAGAGCTTAGACATCATCTTTCAAGAAATTATCAAGGAAAACTGCCCTGATATTTTAGAACCAGAGGGCAAAATAGAAATTGAAAGAATCCACCAATCACCTCCTGAAAGAGATCCCCAAAGGAAAACTCCTAGGAATATTGTAGCCAAATTCCAGAGTTCCCAGGTCAAGGAGAAAATATTACAAGCTGCCAGAAAGAAACAATTCAAGTATTGTGGAAACACAATCAGGCTAACACAAGATTTAGCAGATTCTACATTAAGGGACCACAAGGCTTGGAATATAATATTCCAGGGGGGCAAAGGAGATAGGATTACAGCCAAGAATCACCTACCCAGCAAAACTGAGTATAATCCCTCAGGGAAAAAAATGGATATTCAGTGAAACAGAGGACTTTCAAACATTCTTGATGAAAAGACCAGAGCTGAATAGAAAATCTCACTTTCAAACATAAGACACAAGTGAAACAGGAAAAAGAAATCATAAAAGACTTATTAAGGTTGAACTGTTTACATTCCTGCATGGAAAGACGATATTTGTAACTCATGAGACTTTTGTCAGCATTAGGGTAGTTGGAGGGAAAAAATTATATGTATGTACATAGATAGATAAATAGAGGGCACAGGGCGAGTTGAAGATGAAGGGGTGATATCTAGAGAATAAAATTAAGGGGTAAGAGAGGATTATACTGGGAGAAGGGGAAAGGGAGAGGTAGAATGGGGTAAATTATCTCACATAAAACAGACAAGAAAAGGCTTTTACAGTGGAGGGGACATGGCGGAATGTGAGAGGGAATGAGTGAAATCTTATTCTTATCAGATTTGGCTTAAGGAGGAAATAACATACACACTCAATTGTGTATGGAAATCTATCTTGCCCTACAGGAAAATAGGGGGGGAAGAGGACAAGAGAGCAGGGAGATGACAGAGGGGAAGGCAGATTGGGAGAGGGAGTAATCAGAAGCAAACACTTCTAAGGAGCGACAGGGTCAGAAGAGAGAACAGAATAAATGAGGGGCAGGATAGGATTAAGGGAAATTTTTCACAACATGACTATTATGGAAGTGTTTTGCATGACTACACATGTATAACCTGTATGGAGTTGTTTGCCTTCTCAATGAGGATGGATGGGGAGGGAGGAAGGGAGAAAATCTGGAACCCAAAGTTTTAAAAACAAATGTTAAAAAAAAAATGTTTCACATGCAACTGGAAAATAAGATATACAGGAAATGGTGTACAGAAATCTATCATGCCCTACAGGAAAACTGAACGGGAAGGCGATAAGAGAAGGAAGGAGAGACAGAAGGGAGGGCAGATTAGGGAAAGGGTATTCAGAATGCATGCCATCGTGGGTTGGGGAGAGGGATGAGACAGGGAGAAAATTTGAAACTCAAAATCTTGTGGAAGTGAATATTGAAAACTAAAAATAAATTAATTAAAAAAAGAAAAAATAAAAGAACAAATTTTCACAAATTATTTTCTATAGCACATACACTACTTCAGTCCCATGTGAGGTTGAGAATACATTTGGAGCATGTGGTGTAGGGAATTGGTCTGGACTTATAATTTATTTGATGTATAGAGCTCCTGGAGAACAAACTACTTTTATGGGGGTTGAATATAGATGAACGACTGTCCTGCAATTTGAGAGTCTTGAAGCACTGTCTGGGGCATCAAGGGTTTATAATTACTTGCCCAAGATCACATTGTATGAAAGTGATGGGACATCTTACTGGCTCAAGTCTGGCTCTCTAACTATACAACAATGCCTATCAAGAATAACTGGGGGGCAGCTAGGTGGTGCAGTGGATAGAGCACCGGCCCTAAAGTCAGGAGGACCTGAGTTCAAATCTGGCCTTAGACCACACACTTGACACTTACTAGCTGTGTGACCCTGGGCAAGTCACTTAACCCCAATTGCCTAAAAACAAAACAAAAAACAACAAAAAAGAATAACAGGAATTAGGAGAGGATTCTGGGAAGATGGAGGAATAGGTCAGAAAACTTTCTGCTCTCCAAATTTCCTCCACAAAAAAAGGCAAAACATCACCTCAGAGGGATTGTGCAGCAGCAGAAATAAACATCTGGTAAGTTAAACAGAGAGCTGGGCACCCTGCTGGCCATGGGAACTTTCAGGAGAGCAGAGTCCCTGGTTTCAGTTCCAGGGCAGAGAGGACAGCTGTAGTTTTCAGCCACCAGAGGGACCCCAAGGAGCAAGATCAGTTGCCTTGCAGTGGCTTAGGAGCAGAGAGGAAAGCCCAAGGGTAGGCCCCAGGACAGACCTCAGAAAATAACAATAAGAAGCACCTGAAGCTTGGGGCATCATTCCCCCATATCTGTGGATTAGGAATTGACTATATTAATAGCTGCTAAAAACAAAATACATAAAATCGGGTAAGCAAAGAAGAACCCAACCATAGCTACTATGGGAATAGAGAACATCTAGGTTCATATTCAAA